AATGATAATGGTGACCCCAGGGAGATGGGGCATTGCAGCAGTCTCTTATCAACACATTATCTGTTTGTGTGTCTGTCTCTGAACTTTTTCTACTGGCTGTTAGACCTGATGGAAAATAAATCAAGTCAGCCTCAATAGGTCATCATGTTCTTTGTACTTATATTCACTCCTTTTCTCTGATGCTCTCTCATCAACTCTATCTCTCTCTCTCACACATTCTCTCTCTTTCTCACACACACACACACACACATTTACTCACTCTCTTTCTTGCTCACACACACACACACACACACACACACACACACTCTCTCTCTCTCACACACATACAAATGCACACACACAAAACCTATGCACCAGATAACCGATTTGCACAATGCATTCTACAGAACCTGAAGCCTCTGTCCAGTTAATGCTTGCATACAGATAAAATCAATTACGTATCATTTCACAGGGGAAATTGATCCATGGTGAATCATAAGATCAAACCTTGGTTTTTAGGGCACACCTTCTAGAAACCTGTCCCCCCTTTACACAAAATTAACCCTGTAAATCCAGGGTACATCCTTTAGAAAACACAAAATCAAACCTAGACTCACACCTTCTCAAAATCTTTACCTCACACGCTAACATATCAGTGATCACAAAATTAAACCTTCATCCACAGGGTACCATCCCCTGGGAAAATTTGTCTCATTTAATGCTCACCTACTGTTCTCAATCTGTCCTAGAACATTATGTTTTTCTCTTTTAATGAAAATGTTCTTAATCTGTTCTAATACATACTGAAAGACTTCCCAAAAACAGTTCTCAAACTGTTACATTCATTCATTACAGTACAACATTTGAACTGTAAAAAAATACACCAAATGTTCTAGAATAAATTGAGAACTGTAAGTGAACGTTAAATGAAACAAATTTTCACAGTGACTATTATGATGAATCAGTAGACCTAAGGCTTTGTTCACATGGAATGTCTATTTTCTAAAAATCTATTTTCTATTCGCGCTATCTTATGATCACGGTCTGTGCCCTGAATATCCCGCCGCGTAATTACTGGCAGCGCGAGCCAGTTACTTATAGTAACTTATAGTAACTGGCTCGCGCTGCCAGTAATTACGCCGCGGGATATTCAGGGCACAAACCGTGATCATAAGACATACCGCGAATAGAAAATAGAATTTAGAAAATAGACATTGCATGTGAATGAAGCCTAAGCCTTGATTAACAGGGTGCACCAACTCTAGGAATTTGAACAGTGAGAACAGCTGCTGGCACCACATAGGTCACAACATTGCAGAAGATTGCTGATTACTGGGAGCAAATTACCAGGAGCCAAGCTTGAGCTCTCAGAGTTGATGGGATTCTTGAGGCTTGTTTCATGAAATAATTCCAGCCCTAAAATTGGTCACAAGTTGTAGACCCCAATTATTTCGTTTCCTACAATTTAAGATTAATCCCTAGTAGTCCACAAAAATAAAGTGAGTACTGGTTATACTGGTCTGTAACAAATGCAAATAAATTTTCTTGTAAAACAAACACAATATTTGAAATGATTGGAGTAAGACCGATTTATCCTGGGATAAACAAAGATGTAACATTTTTGTCTATAGTAGAGACCAATATGTGGGCTAAAGCTAATTTGTAAGACACCCCCCCCCCCTCCCTGGCATCTTTTTCAGCCCTTATTATATTACTTTATTAACATGCACTCTAAGACAGTCTTCATTTACAACTCAATGAATATCATTAAGGCAAAATTTACATTTTGCCTAGAACCCCAAGACAGTAAATCAAAGTAACGATCCAGAAATGATCTTTGCTCTGACTCTTCTTCATCTTGAGGTCATATTTTCATGCAAAGATGGCCGCCAGGCATGGACTGATCTTTCCTCAGAAATCCAGACTGTCTTTAAACCATGGTTTAACTTCTCTCTCTATAGATAAAGAAACCACACTTTATTTCAGTGAAAGTTCAGCTGTGTCCTCCAGGCTTCAGTAATCTGCTTTTTTATTGACTATACAGTCACTACTTTAAATGGTCAATTGCCCCAGTTTTTCTGGCATTATACTTTTTCAAGATTTATCATTTTCAGATAACATTCTTGAATTTTCCAGAAAAAATTCTTTCAAATGCCTTGAATACACTAAGTTGGCTATCCATAATCCATTGACCACCATATTTTTTCTGCAGTTGAAATGAATCACTAAAAGGAAATGGGATTTATATGCTCAAATTAGTGATCAATTTTCCCCAATGGCTAGTCACTATCTAACATCCATATTAAAGCTAATGATGATAAATTACACACAAGCTCAACACTTTACCATATCAATATGCATTGAGGTGATTTTCAAGGATAATATCAGAAAGCATGCCTAAATGATGGGCACTGAAAAGGCAAAGGCAGATATCTCTTTATGTATATCAATATCTATATAACTGCACAATAAAAATGTATAATTTAGTTTTGAGAAGCACGTATGGCCAATGTGGTTATTTTGCTATTCTTTTCCTCCTCCTTCATCTATTTCTCTGTGAAGATTTTTTTTCTATATTTCCATATCAATCTTCTCTCTCTCTCTAACACACACACACACACACACACACACACACACACACACACACACACACTAAGCTCCTCCATTCTCTGTACTATATCCTTTTCAATGATTATACCAAAACACAGTGCTTAACACCTATTCCAATTCCCACCATTCCACAGTACTAATACTCCTGTGATAATGGCCGTGATACATCATATGACTCAACCAGATCGTAAAAGTGCATTAAAACAAGGAATCTATAAATCCCCAGTGAAAGCATAAAGTACAGGGTACATTATGCATATAGTCAGTGGGTACTGGTTTCAGAAAGGACTACAGACCAAAGTTGGCTCAAGCTTTAAAGGTCTAAACTTTTTTTACATGAACTGGTAAAAATGTATCTAGTCTGGTAAAGGGCTGTATTTACTACTGTATTTACAATGAACAATTTTAGCCAAAAGTACACTTGTTAACTGCATTTTTCATATACATATACCTATCCATATCCTTGCCTCCTTTTAATCTGAGCTAGCCCCTATCTTATCGAGTTTCTGATGCTAATTCCCCTCTGTATTCTAGCCTCTTTATGAGCCCAGTCAGTATCATCTCACATTCAACCTCTTACCTTGGCTTCAAATCTAAGACAAGACCTCCATTTCTAGAAACTGCATGTACCTAAAGGTCATGACCTACAAGGAGGCTACAGGCAGTTCCAAAACATAAATACACCTTTGCTTATTGGGTTTATGTTGTTTATGGATGGGAAATGTGTTTTTTTAATGAAATGTTGACTTTTGGTGTGGTGTGTGAATGTAAATGGCAAGAGGCCTGATATTTTGATTTGCAACTTCATAACTTCATAAAGAAAAGCAATTTAAACTCCCAATTTAGCCTTAACGAAATAAGCTTTAAAATCTCATCTAACAGATTTATAGTTACAAAAAGTTTCAGTTGATGTGTCTTCAATCAATCTTACTTTCTTTTTTTGTGAGCTTAATAAAACCGAAAATAGCGTACATAATCATTTCCCCAGATGCTGCCATGTTTTATCATTATGTTTGAGGGAAAAGCAAATCATAAGTGGCAAGTAAAGTGTTTTTAGTTGTACTATCTTTATGGTCATAATATCTTAGAGGCCGTATTTCTCCATAAAGCCAAGACCAAATGATGCCTGGTTTAGGGCCTGTTTTTTGTAATAGAACTTGGGCTCAAAAGTTGGTCTGAACTTTTAAATCAAAAAGTTTGGTTTACTTTAACACAGGCTAAATATGCAGCAGTCCATTGAAACAGACTATTTGTCTGAAACAGTGGCCATTTATTTCTTGTAATAAAAAACAGGGACAGAATTTTGTTTTCTCAAACACTTGATTTTGATTAATCGAAGGTCAAAGTAGATTTAAACCATGGTTTTAAATTTTGTTATGAATCGGGATCTGGGGCCTGTTTCAGAGTCTTTGGAATAAGCTAAAACCAGATAGTCAAAAGATGTTTTTCAAAATGTTAGCTCACAATGAATGTATATGACATTCTTAAATGGGCTACTTTCACCAGTGAGAGCAAAAGACAATCAAAATTTGCAATCATAATTTGCAATCACAAGGGGCTTAGTTAAAAGACCGAAAAAAATAGGTAAGCAACCTTCTAGATCATTTCTTAAATGTGACTTAGTAGGCTATGGCTAAGTTGGCTAAGACTTCAGCTCCAAAAACTAACTTAAGACATTTTAAAGAAACTGACCCTCTGGGCCCCTACTGGGCAGTTGGGTTTCAGCACCAATGTCCAGCTAAGTGCTATCTTTAGCCACAGCTGTGGAGAGATTGCTGTATCTTTCATATAAAGGGCATTTTATATTGTTGGTATCAGAATACAGCAAAATATCAGGCTTCTTGCTTGGGTCAGTATGACAGGCATACCGTATGTCCTACTACTACTTATCCATCTTTTTTTTTTTCACATACAGTATACTTTCCAAGCAGATGTGCCAGTTTTGTGTTTTAAGCTTGAAAGCATGTTAAGTGAACAAAGCAGCATTATCTGCTGTTGCTTGAAGTATCGTTCTCCCTATGAATAGATCTATTTTGTATAATATAAACAACAGGCCATCAGAGTAAAATTAGGAGTCATTTGTCAAACCTGTTGAAAACTCTGTGGAAAAAGTAGAAACTGCATAGAATTCAGGCTAAAAAATTGAAGAGAAACTGCATGGAATTAGCGTAAAAATGAGTAAAATTTGAGTACAAAATCTGGAAAACATCCCAAAAACTTAAATGTATAAAATAGGCAATGAATCTCATATTTGTTGTCAAAACCTAGCTTAAATTGGGATATGGATTTAACCACAAAATTGACTCATCTGTTTGGCAAGGACTGTTATGTTGGTAAACTACATATATTGGTTTCACACCACAATACAGAGTCCTTCCGAGCAGAAAAGAGGAAGAACACTGCAAGCTTACCTTGCGCTTCTCTTTCTCCTCTACTCTAGTGGAAGGGACAGCCGTGGTATAATTTTTAGCGTACTGTTTTGGCCGAACAACCCGGGGCTCTGAATTTGAAGCTGCCATTCTAGGACGGTTAGCCCTCTTTGAACGATAACTAGAGGCACCGCTAGTGCCACCTATAGCGCTTGAACTGAGAGGGATGTAGTTGCCGCTGCGCGTTCCCGTACTTGGGATCGCGATGGCAGAGCTGGTGGAACTTCCCCCTCCCGAGGTCGCTGCTGTGATGGCACTAACGGGCTGATACGGCAGACTGGGTGGAACCCCTGGGCCTGTGTTGGCGGTACTGAGGCTGCCACTCACACTAGAGTATGGTCGGTACGGTTCCAGATCGAGGAGCAATCGGCTGTACGATGACCCCAGGGTGGAGGCTCCGTACCCCCCTGTGGCACCCAATGGCATTGTGGGCCAGATCAACACCAAGGTTGTAACGCACCAATCGAGTGAGAATCTATGAACCACCCTATATATGGGTTAGCAGAGCAGCAAGACTATAACAGCAGCTTTCAGTAGTAAAGGCCTACTCTCTGACTACTTCTACTAGTTAGACAAATACAGCACTTAGAAGACCCAGAAGAAGAAGACAGAGAAGGAGAAGATGTCCGCTAGATTGCTTGCCTCTGAGGTGACTTCTCCCAGGTTCTTCTTCGCGTCTGACATTACAATCTCACCGCTCCAGCCGCCACCCAATCCTCGGCTGCCAATTACAGAACCTCCCCGACTGACGTCTGGCTGGATCTTCCCTCCTCATTGGCTCCTCCAGCTCAGCAGGAACACTGCAGATCTGTCAGTGTTATCTATGCTCTCCCAGCCAATGTGGGCCTCAATGTATGTAGGTGATAAAACGGCTCCTGTTCCACTCACAAACTATGCCAGGCAGGCAGCTATGTGCCTTTCCACCTATGCACCTCCTCTGTTTATATAAACTCAGGTAGACCCCAATGCTTTATACACAGTACCAGGCCCCCTGTGTTCAGTGCAAAAACAAAAAGTGTTCATCTGGAACTGCCTGTAGCCTTTAATTATAATGTCTGCCTGTCTTGATCTTTCTTTACGAAAAGCCTGCTGAAGTTACTCTCAGGTAGACTTTGTGGCCAAATCCATGGTGCCTGGCCCCAAACTGGTGAAGTTAATGGAAAGTCCATGACCAACTGAAAACATCTGGACTTGTCTGTAACCCATTAAACCTATCCTCCCCTCTTATTTCCCCAAAACACCGAAATCAAGTCTATGCTTTTAACAGGTACATCCAGGTAGACTCATCAGCCTTATTCAGACTACCAGGCACAATGTTATTCAACAGTTAGATGTTGAGAATCTGAAACTGCTTGTACCATAAAAATAGAAAACAGAACCCTTATTCTTGACAGCTCTCTCTTTATATTAAACCCAGCATGGCACATCAGCTGAGTAGAATCCAGGTGTACTACACCAACAAATCCATGGCACTTGACTCACATATATCAAGCATATGACTAGGTCACTGAACAATCTGAAACTTCCTGTAATTTTTCCCAGTACACAGAACCCCTTCTCTTCTCTCTCTATCCTTCGAGAAAACAGAAGGAACTCTCTACATATTTCACCACAAAAATGACGCCAGGCCTGAACTAGAAAACAGAGCTGTGCTGAAGCTATGGGGTTGAAAAAGATATAAATAGCTGGGAGAGATCAAGTTACACACAGTTCCAGCTTTGCATGTGTGTGTAGGTTGTATCAAGTAAATGGCAATGGAGCAAAGGCACCCTGTGTGTCAAAGCTTACAAAAACCAGATGCTTTTAATGATCATGGTCAAAACAGCAAATTCCAGCTGCCAAAAGAAAAGTGTAATTGATACAAAAATGGCATGTTTTGAATGCTCAATGCAAAAATCAGACCAAAATTAGGTTGCCAAACACAGAATTTGTATGATAAATTGGTCATGGTAACCGAAAGGGACTAATATTGGTCATGGTAACATTATGAATCATCATTGCCAAAATCACCCAAAATTCAGCTCCTAAACACAGGGTGTAAACTGTAATAAATTGGTCAGGGTAATAGAAATGCCTTGATATACACCAACAGCTGTGTGGAAAGAATTAACTCAGGAAGAAGGGCAGGAGAGAGAGAGAGAGAGAGAGAGAGAGAGAGAGTGTGTGTGTGTGAGAGAGAGAGAGAGAGAGAGAGAGAGAGAGAGAGAGAGAGAGTGAGTGAGAGAGAGAGTGCGTGTATGTGTGTGTGTGTGTGTGAGAGAGAGAGAGAGAGAGTGTGTGTGTGAGAGAGAGAGAGAGAGAGAGAGTGTGTGTGTGTGTGACAGAGAGAGAGAGAGAGAGAGTGCGTGTGAGAGAGAGAGAGAGAGATTTAATCCTTACTTGGCACTACCAAATAGTTTACATTGGCCTTGACCAATTAGACAGATGACTTTGCAAAGCACAAAGTAAGTGCAGGTGCACAAATATGTATAAATACACTGAGATAAACCCCTCATAAGTAGCAGTAATGTTAATCTTCATCTCCACATATTATCTCAATCTATCTCACCAGGTAGACTCCTGAAAAGGCCAATTATATACCTTATTACACATTTTAGACAGTCATAAAATATACATAATACATAGATGAAGGTGGACCTTTAAAGAAAAATCCTGAAAATGCAAGCCCTAAATCACATAGCTCTATATACAGGGGGATAAGGTGGTGGGTTCAATAACAAAATGTCAGGATATACCCAAAAGACATTCATCAATAATAATAAGTAAGACTAGTGATGACATATCCATTGTGACAGTAGACTCAAACGTGGGAGTAGATTTTAGTAAGTAGTGCTCTAGCCTGTCCGCTTAGATGTGTTTTGGCTTCGCTATATTTTCTACATACAGACTGTTCCATCCAATACCTTTATACTGTTGGCTTATTTTATCTGTCAATAATCACAGGGTTACAGGAAAATGTACTTTAAGCAATTAAAATGTCTTGCCTTTTTATTTGAGAAAAAATAAAATTTGTAGCTCAGGAAAGAATCAGACTGAAAAGAGAAATATAAATATCCACAAAATCCAAGTATTCTAAATTCGCTGCATACTACATGACACTTGTTCAGTCACAACTTCTTAGCACGAAAATGTATCAGATTATGTTTTTTTTTTAATTTTAATTTCAGCATATTTCTGCAGTAACTCAGGATTACTTGTATCTCTGGTACTCTACTTTGGTACTCTACAAATTTTTTGGTAACAGTTTCAATTTTCTGATGTTCTGGCCAAATGCCATTCAATTCATATAAACAGGCAGCCTTTTGACAACATCCATGGCCACCATCTACTATCCCTTCTACTACACTGAACAACCACCATACACTTGGGATTAATTAGAGCGAGGCATGTACTTCATTACCTTTACCACCAGCTATAATTTGAATGCAACTTCCTGTTCTACGGGGAAAGCCAATGTAAAGCAGTTGACAAGAAATGGCGTAATATGATGAAATATTGGCTGAAACTCGTTAGGGTTATTGAACAGTTGGTGGAACAGGAAAGAATGGCTATTTTGAGAAGGAAATAAATCATCTAAAATAAAAATAAGTACAAATAAATGAATTAAAATAGTCAACTTTAACAAAGAAAAAACTAATTAACTTCAAAGATATTAAACATCTTTTTCCTGTTAAAAAAAGGACAAAATATTACATTTCATTGGACCAGTTGGCAAAGTGAAAGTAACAGCCAGTTTGATAAAAACAAATATAGTCATCTTGTCAACAAAAATATCAGTCTATAATAAATTTAGACCAACTTTCCCAGTTCCAAGCTCTTTGTTTAAACAGGGGCCTGAAATACTGACAGCACCAGACTCTGAATTGGAACAGCTCCTACAGCTCAAGAGGTTCTGGGAGTGATTGAGGGCCAGGAACAGGCTTAACTACATAAACACAAGACCACCTGCCAGCAAAGGGAGGCACCATAGCAACTGCTGCCATAGCAACTGCTACCATAGCAATGGTCACCCTAGGAACTGCAATCACCTGGAACCTGAGTGGAACAGCAGTGGAGCCATCTATAGCTTACTTGGAACACTGGGTGAGGTTGAAATGATCGAGAAGTTTGCTTTAAAAGATAATCAGAAATGAAAGCATTTGCGGTAATTAATGTGTGTGTGTGTGTAAGAGAGAGAGAGAGAGAGAGAGAGTTTAATTCCTCTATACAAGCAAGCATTCCACTATAAATATGAACCATCTTGAAGTTCACTGATAATGAATGATCCAAAACACAGTGAAAAAAGTGTTGATGCACCTTTCCATATAAATGGCAGTGTTTAACCTAAGCTGTACTTCTACAATTAATTGTTTGAGGTTCGCTCATGCATAAACAAAGTTCACCCTATCATTGCATATTATTTTTCCACGTGCTCCTTCACTCCAAAAATAATATGCTATCTGAACAGAATAATGATAATAATCTTCTCTCAATTGGCCTATAACAAAACTCTCACAGTTGACAATCTCTTCATTCAAGCCTGTGAACTGTACTACAATTTGTATGAAATTGAGATTTAGGATCAAAGACTGACAAGTGGGATTGAATAAAACCGTCACTTCCCAGAAATGATTTTTTTAAGGTCCTTAAACCCTAAACTAGGACATGAATCACAAAATCAATCTCTTCCTCAAGTCCTAAACCCATTAGCACAAGAACTGGCATCAAAGCAAGATCAATCTCTTCCTAAAGTCTTAAAACCTTAACCCAGGACAGAGAAAGAAAAAAAAAATCAATCTCAGTTCACTGAGTCTTCTCCCTCTGAGTTGTCATATAAATTAATACTGAACCCCATGAGATTTTTTCAATGAGTACCACTGAATCTGATTTAACATGTGGTTTAGGGCTTCTCCCAAAAACAGGAAAAATAACTCAGTTTCAAGAACTAAATAACTAACTAGCTAAATATATTTTTAAAAAATGATAACAATAAAAAAAATGATCTGATATATTTAACCTAGATTTAGGGCTTCTCCCAAAAAGCAGGAGATACCACTCCACTTCAAGAACTAAATAACTAACCAGCTCAATAAATTTTTAAAAAATGATAATAATAAATTATCTGATACAAGACATGATTTAGGGTTTCTCTCACCACCAAGATATGCTACTCAGCTTCAAGAAATAACTAACTAAATAAATTTAGAAAAAAATGATAATAGTGAATTACAAAAGATCATACAAAGGGGACAAATATGTCAATACAGTCAAAATTGCCTTTTCTGTTGAAAATAAAATAATAAATGGCGAAAAACATTCACATTGGCATCCTGGTAAACAAAATGATCAACAATAATAAAAAAAAAAAAAAAAAAAAAAAAAAGAAAACCGAAATTTCTTCCAACCTGCACTGCTGAACAAAAACCAATACATGGAAACCCCTCCAGATAGACAAAGCAACTTCTTCCCTAAATTTAATCAATATAGCTTCCATTGATCTGTCTAATGTAAATGTGAATGCAAACAAGCAGGACAAAGACGGCCTTCTGTGCGTTATACAGTAGCTGTTAAAATCCAATAATATGATGACCATGCATTCCTATTGTCTCTCTCGCTCGTAGAATATGAAGCAATCAGTGCATTTAAAAGATCAAAATTCATAGGAATTACATGTAGGGTTTTCTAGATACTTCCTACCTGATATTATGAAAAAATATATATATTAAAGTCTTTATCTTTTGTAATGTAATATTTGCATGAGAAAAAATATGATATGAAAAATTTAGAAAATTTACGAACCATAATTTTCTTAGTGTTCTGGATAGGGTATATACCTTACTGATAAAATGCTAAAAAATTCAGGGTTTGTTTTTTTTTTTACTTCTTTGCAATAGTAAGGCCTTTAAAATTATCAAAAGATCATTCTAAACTACCTTTTGCTCAATAAAACTCACCTTAATGGACACAACAATAGCTTATTAAATTACATACATATCTCATTAAAATCTATCACTTTTGGTTAATTTCCTGCTTTCTACTTTTTTTTCTGCTACAGCTGTTCAAAATACATTGGAAAAGAAACCAGATGTGCATATTTACATGAGTCATAGGGGAGAGAGAGAGAGAGAGAGAGAGAGAGAGAGAGAGAGAGAGAGAGAGAGAGAGAGAACATGTGTGTTATAAAAATACAAAATATACCATCTTATTGTTTACATACTAAACCACATGAATATATAATATATATACTAGATAATAAATAAATAAACAAATTGATGAATACATGAATAAAACAACCATAACAACAACAACATAATTGCATGCCCTAATTCACATAAAAAACATCTACACAACTCATTAGCATCATAACGAACACCACCACCACCACAGAAAGCAATCCCATAAGTTAACACATGGACTACGCAATCAGCCCCATACAATTATAACCACAAACCCCAAAAACTAAAAAAAAATTTCCACAAAGACGCCATACAAAAACGTGTCCTACATTGTCATCACTGCCCGGCATGGAAGACGCACTGCTGGTCTGGCCCTAATTGTCCTTGCCTTTACATGTATCCTACAATCAATATGTACAATAACTTACTAGCATCAGCGGCAGCTATTTTCTTCCATCTGGCTCATATCGTTTGTGCTGTCTGGTATGTAATTTACATAGCGAATTACATGGCTAGTGGTCGTAACAAGATTCTCTCACTCACTCATTCTCTCTTTCTCTGCCACACACACACACATACGCACACACACGCACCAACATGTCACATGTAAACTCCATAAATTAATAACCAGAATATATCATCTATTCCCCATAGAAAGAGAATCTAGACTGCAGGAAATTAAAAACAACCATGCACATGCACAAATAAATGCTTACGTTGCACATTATCATACATTCCTCTCGCAATGCTGCCTTTTGTTTTATAAAAATATTCCTCAAAAAATAATAATAATAAAATCCGCCAAGCTTGATCTATGCCACTAGAATATTGCAGAGCAGTTACATTTCGTCGTTGTTAAAATTGCCCTCTCAGCTGACGAGCCTCCTTAGTGTATGTACGAAGTTCGCATCCATAAATAAATTGAGGAGATAAAAAATCCTCTAACCCCAAACTGAGGCAGGGTTAATTT